AATAGAACATTGGGTACCCTTGCAGAACCACTTTTATGGAAAGTTTTATCCTGTCCCACTAGGGTTGTGGGATATGATGGTATATAAAGCGAACTGGTAGAAATGTTTCCCTTGAAGAGACTTTGCATTAGTTTACTTAAAAATAAAAATGTGTGTCCATATTGCTTTATATTGCTGTGACTGAAAACGGGCTTACGCTTATTTGCCAATTACATTTGATTTGAGATGTGATAGTTTGTGGTGTTCACACATTTTCTTTACTTATAATAATTTAAAAATAAGTATGCATGTCATTTACAAATGGTCCAGACTGAATTGACTAAGATAGTGAAATTAGTTTTAAAACATAAGATAATTAATGGAAAAATCATTTTCAGCATCACCATGGCTTGCCAATTCACTGACACGTTTTTAAAGATTTTGTCATTTTTAATGCGGGTGTTGTTGTGCAGGTTGTTGTCGAGTAATATCCTTCCAAGAGTGTAACATCCACTTCTGTGGGCTATAATATATCTCTGTAACTGTCATAACCCCTTGAATGCCTCTCATATTAGTCATAGACCAGTGTGCTTACGATGTCTTTTAGGATCTGACTTCATGATATAAAGTGTTCCCTCTTTACTTCGTCACAGAACAGCGCTACTCTGATGAAATGCAGTGGGCAGCTCCACTATTAATGTTTGTTTGAATAGTTTAGGTCCCTTTAACAGCAATACTGACACTACACATTTGTTTTATGATTTACTGTATATCTGCTGATTTCTGACTTTCTGGATAATTGTTTTTATTGTTTTTATTGTTCCTTGTTTGTAACTCATCCAGAATGCAGCTACTCGTCTGGTCTTCAACCTTCCTAAATTCTCCCACACCACGCTGCTCCTCCGCTCCCTTCACTGGCTTCCAGTAACTGCTAGAATCCCACTTCAAGACACTGGTAACTTGCGTACCATGCTGCGAATGGATTGGCCTTCCTACATCGCAGGACATGGTGTAAAACCAGTAAACCCAGCAGAGTGGCACTCCGTCTGCATCAGCCAAACTAGCTCGGGCTCACGTCGCACTGCTAGGGGGACCCAAGTTCCGCATCAGCAAAAACACGTGGTTTGCAATCCTGGCTCCAAATGGTGGAATGAGCCACCATTGAAATCAGGAACAGCAGAAAGCTTTACCATCTTCCCGGCAGCAGACTGATAAACTCTCTCTTTCAACACACTTCGAGCGATAGATTACTAACAAAGCACCTTATATACCTAATAAGAGGGCTGGCTCATCTAAAGCCAGTTTGAGTAGGCACTTGAAATGTTTTAACTCTATGAAACCTGATGTACTTATATGCATTCTGTTTTCTTGCAAGTTTGTATTTTGTTGGTCGGCACTTATGTAAGTCGCTTTGGTTAAAGCGTCAGCTAAAGCAATGTAATGTAATGTAATCATTTTGTGAAAGCAGGTAGGCCTTATTTTGGCACTATTTTAGGGCAGTAATGCTGAATCACACAGCCTCATCAACGGATGGGCATTTATCAAGCTGAAAAAGCTTCAGCAGAAAGATGTAATGGAGGCATGAGAAACGTTTTTTGCTTACAGTGGGCAGGACTTTTCCCGCTGTAGCAAACACTGCAGCATCCTTGTATAAATCATTGAATTAGTAAAAGCACATGTATTGAGGCAAACTAAGGAATTATGGGTCCCCTTAAAGAATATCGGTCTGGACACTTTTTCTTTAAATAAAATAATTAACTGGGAGTTTTGTGGTCCCCTCTACCAGGCTCGTGGGCTCTCAGACTCAATCAGCTAACTTTTCACTCAGGCCGCAGCACTACATCTTTTGTTTTAAATGACAGTGGTGTAAAACCTGGCCGCGCTTCTCTTTCATGGTGTGGGCCAAACTTGTTTTAGGTCTGCAATAATAAAAAGGCTTGTTGTGCTCACATGCATACGGCTTTTATATTTATAAAACGCTAATAATTGGTGTGCAGAATAAATTCTAGACAGGTCTTGACATATCCAACAATCCCTTTTGGCTGTAGTTGAAAGAGCAGCAAGGATTAAATCATATCAAATTGA